TGTGTGTGTGCGTGCGTGTGTGTGCGTGCGCGCGCGTAGGGGGACACCGAAGCTGGCGGGAAGGGGTGGGGCCGGTAGCCTCCATCTCCTTCCCGGTCCCAGTACTGAGCCCGGACTCCCGGCCCCTGGAGGTCCCGTGCCTCAGTCCCTCTGACCTTCGCTGTCCCCATCAGCCGGATTAGTCAGAATCAGCCTCCCACTTATCTGTGCTGTGACCCTGGGCAAGTGCCCCCGTCCTGGGGATCCCGCTAACTCTGTGGCCAGGGCTTTCCCACCCGACGGCGCAGGGGCGGGCATCCTCGGCCTTTTACCGTCAGGAAAGCCCGGCCTCAGAGATGGGCAGGGACTTGCGGAAGGAACCGGCGGGCAGGCTGCAGAGTTGGACGCCGTTCTGCTCTGACGCCATAACCTGCGTCCACCTCTGCAAGCCGCTGTCACAGTCTGGTGGTGTCCTGGCCTGAGAACTAGAAATATGAGTCCCACCCCACAGCGCCTGGGCCAGGATAGGCTGTCCCTACCTCTTCTGAAAAAACTCCCTTCCCATCCCCCCAGCTCTTCACCTTTCCCCTCCCCCACAAAAAACCCCACCTGACTTCTCCGTTTTGGTGGCTGGCCGGCCAGAGACGTCAGAGTCTTCCTTGACACCTTCTCTTTCCTTCACACCCGCATCCAACTGTCACGAACCCTGTGGGCTCCACCTGTAAAACCTCTCCAGAATCTAAACTCTTCTCCTCGCTCCCCGGCCCCCACCCTGGCCCGGCCTCCATCCCCTCCCACCTGGACATCCCAGCAGCCTCCTCCCTGGTCTCCTGCTCCGTCCCTGCCCCCACAGTCTGGTCCCCACCTGCAGCCAGAGGGAGCCAGGGGACACCTGAGTCAGGTCAGGGCCCTCCTGGCTCGGCCCTGCCCGGGCTGCACCTCGCTCCAGGTAACAGCAAAGTCCTCACCCCAGGGCCCAAGTGATCTGGCCCTGTCACCTCTCTGACTTCCCCTCCTCATCACCTGCTTGCTCACACGGTCCAGCCGCCCAGCCTCCCTGCTGTTCTCTAACTCTGTGGGCACATCCCTGTCTCCTGCCTGAGGGGCGTCGCGCCGCCTGCTCCCTCTGCACAGACAGCTCTTCCTGCAGTCCTTCCCCTGGCAGCCTCTCACCCTCAGATGTGAGAGGGGCCCTCCTTCCTCGGTCCCTCTGCTCTCTTTGCATTTCTCTTTGCCCGTTTCTTCTTTTGAAACACTTTTACATTGTTGATTAGAGAATATTGATTTCAAACAGGAAAAACTGTCATGGTCATCTCTGTCCCTACCACCTGTATGTAATAGATGTGGACATTTTGCTTCAGATCCTCCCCCCACTTTGTTTTTAGAAAAAGAAATAAACTATTGACGTTACAGCCAAAGGCGCAGCGCCGCATCCCTCCTTTCTCTGCCCATGGTCCTCAAGACAGGCTGTCCTGAAGTTGGCGTGTGTCCTTCCTGCGCAACTTTCTATCTTTTTCTGTATCAGGATGCATCCACCAACAATATAGCCTATTATTCAGTATCTTTTTAAAAAGATACACAGTGGGACTCCTACTGTATCATTTTGCAACTTGCTTTTCCCCATCATCGTTGTTTCTGAGATTTGTCGACATCTCTGCGCAGAGCCCTACTTCATAAACTAGGTCTTACCGAGTGTCCACCGTGGGAAGAAGCCACTGTGGGTATTTCTAGTCGGGGCCAGTATATTTCTTTCCTTGTTCCCTCTGTGGCCTTGAACCTCCCAGTTCCTGTTTCCTTGTGCCAGAGGTAGTGTTTCTTTGCAGAAATTTTGTTTGAACTTTTTTTTCTTTTGGCCCGTGAGCTACAGCAGGAAATACCTTTTACTTTGGCCTCCAGCGCACACTTAGAAATGTACGTAATGCCACAGAAGGTGCAGGAAACCACACTTACCCTCACTGGCACTTGTACATGTTATGTTCAATTCTATTTTATCTCAGTTTGGATCAAAAGTGCTGACTGCAAGTCACTGCATTGATTTCATGGCCCTTAAGCGGGTCCTCACCCACAGTTTGAAAAGCACTGTGCGGATCAAGGCGGGTGTCTGCCTCTGCTCCTGCTAGGCAGTGCTAGCTGAGCTCACAGTGAGTTGTCCCAAAGCACACTCCCGGTTGCCTGTTTTTATAACTTCAAGTCAGGTCCCCTGTAGGTCCAAGGCCACATTCCAACTGACCTGCAGCCCTCTACCTGGACCGTGACAGCCACAAGGAACCCACCCTTGAGCAGCAGTCCCTAAAAGGAGAGAGACCCTCTTTCCCATCCCACTGCCCAGGTCTGACCTGTCCTGGGACAGATTCTCCAGGTCTGGGGTCCTCGGCCGCTGCGAGCGCTGTGGGGTCGGGGTGCAGGGGGGTGACTCCCCATCACTGGATGGTGTTATGTGAATTTCGGGCACCTCCAGGAGCCTCCAAGGCTCGGGGGCCAGGCTCTGCGCCTCATCGCCCCGTGGCTGCTGCCTCTGCCGCTCAGCTGCAGGGTCAGACAAGCCCTGGGCATTGTCCTGGGACAGTGGAGGTGCCCAAGGCAGCAGGGGCACGAACTCGTTCATGAGGAGGGTCCGGGACAGCTGCCAGTGGCGTGGTCTCTGGGGGAGATAAAAGAGAAGTGAAAGAAAGAGCCCGGTCTGAGCCCCTTACCGCCTTCCCCTGCAGCCCCACTGAGAGAGGCAAGCTGTGGTTAAGAGCACGGTTTGGTGGCCAGAGAGATCTGAGCGGGATTCCCACCTCTGCTCACAGCCTCCCCTCACGACCCTGAGCCCCAGTTTCCTCTTCTGAAAACTGGAGACCTTGATGGGACACCCCAGGGTGGCTGGGCAGCGTCAGGGAGCTCCGACATGCGACATGCGAGAGCCCGGCCACACAGTGAGCGCTCAGTAAACGCCTCTTCCTGCCCCAGGGCTGGGGGCTATTTTTCTGAGCATTCGGTAAGGCCATGCCCTGAGTATTCTATACACCCCACGCCACCCCCACACCCCGCGTCCCTTCCACACACAGGGCCAGGATGGAGCCAGGCCTGAGAGGGCACCAGAGGCCGGGCCGGGGAACGGCTGGTCAGGCAGAGAGAGAAGCAGAGGCAGGATTTCCCTCCCCTGTTTGTTCAGCAATTGCCCCTCCCAAGACAAGCACAAGGAGGGCGCCACATGCCCTCCTGGCCCGGGAGGAAGCCAGGCCAGTTACTGCGGCTGCAGCTGTGAAGTTGGAGGCTGCCTGGGTCAGGGAAGGCCAGACCAAAGTCTGCCTGTCCTCCTGGCACACACAGCAATGGCTTCCTGGCACCCAGCTGTCTGGGGAACAGGGAAGGAAGACCTGGGGGAGCCAGAGAGGGTTTTCCCAGGTTTGCGAAAGGCCCTGGCCCTTCCAGGCCAGGCCTGGCCCTTCCAGGCACCCTAGTCCCCCACACACCTACCTTATGGGTTCCTCCTCCTCTGTCCTCACGGGGTTCCAACTTCCAGGGTGAGGGCGGCGGACAAGGCCCTTCCTTCCCCCCAGGAGTCCTGACGGGGCCAGAAAGTCATGACCTTGCCAGCTGGACCAGCATGTCTGGCTGGAGTCATGTTACCCTCTGGCCATCTGTTCCTGGGAAAGGACAGAGTGGGGGTGGGGTGGGGGTGCCCGTACCCAGGCGGAGGCCGAAGAAGCCCACCTCATCCTTCCCTCTGACTGCCCAGTTGAGGACAGGGCTGTCCTCACCCTAGTGCTCTAGTGGTCTGTCTCTAGTGTTGGTCTGCCGCCAGCCACAGTGTAACTTCTGTCCCCCAACTCGCCCGAACTGCTCCCCAAGTTCAGGGATCACCCCCACCCCGGGTGGCCAGATCCAACAGATTTTCATCACCTCCCCGCGCTGCACTTAGAAGCCCAGAACCTGGGAGGCGCCTCTTCCTTCTGGGCAGCTCTCGGCAGCTCGCCTCCCCCCACCGACAGCCCCAGCACGCCTGCCCACACCTCCTTCTTCTCTACCTGGTTTGCAAAAGCCGACTTTCCCCACGGCTTGGGTCTGCGCACTTTTATTTTTCTGTTTTTATTATACAATAATTGTCACATACCAAGGGACGTCTGTATCATA